TTAATCTTGACACGAATTTCAGCGTACAAAAACAAAACTCGTTGAAAGACAAGTACAGTCAAACCTCTTTAATATGGACAATGAGGAGGCCATAGAAAGTGTCCGTATTATCGGGAGTCCGTATTAAGGGGGTTGAATTTAGAGAGAAAAAAGTAAGGGTGTTCTTTCCCCAGGGATAAAGCAAACTGTTGGTAATAATGAGGTGTCCGTATTCCGTATTAAGCGGGTGTCCCTAAAGCGGTTTTGACGGTAGGTTACTTTTATTATTTTCCAAAATAGGAGAGGGAGGGGGAGCAAATTTGCCTCGTAAAATTTCTAACAAAAAAGGTAGTTTCCAAATGCCTCTCATGCATTTGAGACAATTCAAACGGCTTAAAAAGCCAGATATTACAAGTGTTTTGTTCTCAAGTTCAAGTTCAAGTTTATTTATTATACATAACAATCTATTTCTTGCTGCTAGACAACAGAAAAGTTTGCATAATAAAGTATCCATTTCCCAGAGGGCAGAAACCTCATTTTCTGGTAAGCTGCTAGCTCGTTTCCCAATAGATCTTTTTTATGTTCATTAACAAAGGGATTGAAAACCTCAAAACAAACGAACCCGGCATGAAATAAACTGGTCACCTCGGAGTGCACGCAAAGAAAAAGACTAGTTAGTTTTATACCAAAGCGGCATGCATAGGTCTGTTGTAGGTTTGCTAAACCTAAAATTCTGGAAAAAGAGATCTTTGTAACTGTTTTAAGGAGATTCGTTTAAGGTATCTTTGCATCGAAAAGTTGCGCCCTATGTTTAACGATCTTAACATATGCGTCACTTAAATCCTTCTGCCTGTTACAGCGTCAATCAGTGCGTATAAAGTGAAGGACTCCTGTACACTCTTTTTCCGTTCCAATGTACAGATTTGCAAATTTAAAGCAGCTTCCTTGTGTTTTATATAGTAAGTTTCCAACTTGCTCTATGTCGTAAAAAGTTAAGTTGTAAAGAAAAAAATCTAATGTTCATCGTAGTTCTGACATGTTCTGAGCTCTCAAATTTTATGAAATAAACTCAAAGATTTCATTTTACTTCAGTTAATGGTCTAGCTACTACAACAAACACAGGGGAAAACGACGCCGGACAAAATCATTTAAATTGATTCGACACCAACGTCATTACGTCTCGGTGAGCTCACTTAAGCCCCAACTTGGATTTCCCAACGTCTACAGTCGTGCCGGTTGTCGTGTTGGGATGGGTGGTACGGGTGGGACGGGTGAGGTTGGTACTGTTTCTTAGACGTTGTATATTCGTCTTAGTTCCATATATCATTAAGGATAAAGGGGGTTTCTTGGTGTTGCGGACACCAATGACGTAATACAAAAGATTGAAAAGACACTGAACAATACCCACACCACAACACAAAAGCTAACCAACAATAGTTTCCGCAACACCAAGAAACACCCAGGATAAAGGACAACTGTCTTTCAATGTTTCATTCGATTTGCAGAACAAATTAAGTAGCAGCAAAAAGATACAAAGAGATGTCCCGCAGGTCAAAATTTACATCCCTTTACAAAACCACCGAGATAACCCGGTAACAATAGAGAAAAAATACCCTGGAAAAAACTTGGCGAACTCCTACCTTGAAAAGGCGGAACCTTTCGCAGCCTGTTGCAGTAAAGCACTATGAAGTACATACACGAGCTCAACTGATACAAGGACGCGCTAGAATAGATAAATGATCGTCTCATCAATAACTTAAAATAATAGGCTCTTTTTTAATTGCAGCTAGCCATTCGGCGTGCTACAAAACCGCTGTGCTGGAAAGTAAAAGTCGCACTGGGAAAAGACAAACAATGAAAATGGCGGATTTAAAAGAAGACAATGAACTTAAATCAGTTTTAGCCCGGTTTGAATAAATTATATAACTGTAGTTACGTGTACGTTAATACCCTCTGTCGTAATTTGACAGTTAATTGTGCAACCATAGGAAGATAAATCTTTCTTATTTAATCTTACAAAGTCAATTTTATTTTGCTCATGGAAAGACTGATATACAACTCGATATTACTAGTGATAGTGCAATAAATTACGAGAAAGGCAGTTCATAATATACACGATGACTTACTTTTGTACAATTCCTATATTGAGGAGAGATTATTCCTCTTAGTGAACTCCTAATTAATGCCGCTCTTTCAAAAGACTTCAAATCATTGCTTTGTGGCGAAGAAATTTCTTAAGAGGCCGTAAATAGTACTTTCTGATGAAAGTTATGAAAACTAAGGATTACTAGGATTGTAGCTGAAGTAGGATGAGTAAGCAATTTATAGTTATTCAGGTTATTTGTAAGGAGGAGTGGTTTCTCACACACAAATTACAAACAACGTGCAGTGCACGGAACGGCTGCTTGGGTCGCTAGACACTCCATCGTTACACGGGGAACTGCGTTGAAGCGAGTAACGTTGATCACGATTCTGTCAGCTTCATACAATTTAACACAACTTTTGCCAGGACACAGAATGTTGACCGATTAATAGGGCGTATTATCGGGATTGCGCTTTTTCTGTGTACAGACGCCCCCTCCCCTCCCCTTAAAAAAATTCCCTCTCCGATTTCTTGTTCTGTGGGGAGGGGACTAGGTTCCGCTTTGTATAGAAAAAAAACTTGTCCTGGGTAGAAGGGTCGGCGCGGATCATTGTACGTCTCTGGGAAACTGCCCACCTACCCCTCCCCTAAGCCACCATTTTGCTTTAAGTGAGAAGCAAGTGTAAATATTGGCTTGGGGAGGGGTAGGTGGGCAGTTTTCCCTGAAGCGTGAAAGGGTCACTACCCGAGTTTCGCTGGGCGAGCCACCTTTCCCTACAAATCCTTACAAAACTTGGCGAACCGTTTACAAACATAATTAGCTCCGCTAGGTGAGGGTGATCCGCCCAGCCAGGTCACCCCTTTTTAGTTGTAGGGCAGGAGTAGGATCACTCTCCGAGCTGGACCAGCTTTTCTCAATGTAAACCCTTAAGCCAGCCCAGCCAGGTCAATTTTGTCAATGCTAGGCAATCAGAGCTTGCGCTAGTACTCTTGGCTCGGGCAAAGGTAAAGGGTGGGCCCGTTCTTCGAAAGATGGTTACTTTTAACCCATTAAACCAAATTTTAAACAAGGTTTTCTTGTCTAAGTAAGCGTATTACTCTCAGTTGAGCCTTTACTCTGAGATATTGCAATGATAACATTTAAATGTTACTCCAAGCAATGCATAGGAACTGGGTAAATACAAAACGAGGAACAAAATTTTAATCCTGGATTAGCGCTAATCGGCCTTTCAGGGACCGAGCCAAGGCTGGTCAGTTGTTCTCAGGAACGCTCGCTAATGTTGACTCGGCAGAGAGGGTGACACTCTTTGTTCCCGGGACAACTTTTCTCCATATAAATGGGCTCTTAGCCTGTTCCAGGCGTTCAGATCATTGTGGGGACTGCGTAAAGGGATTTGAGTATGAATGTCTCGAATATGCTAGTGTACGTGGGCCGGGTCTTTCCAAGCTGGGTTAAGATAACCCATGGTTTATAGTGCGAAATTTGAATTCAGAGTGAAAGCTTAAAAAGTAAATCAAGCTTAATTCTTTTTGTCAACATGTTGATGATTGGATGCTCTAACAGAGAAAATTATCCGGAGAAAGTGCTTTTGAACAAAGCATAAAGAAACGCGCGTTAAATGATTCAACCCTGGGTTAAGCGCTAATCGGTTCGAACAACTGGGCCTGGTACTGCAAAAGTCAAAACATTTATAAACGCATTCTATAGTTTTGATGTTCTCACACAATATCGTTCATTAACTTCATTTAGTAATTAGAAAGGGTGCAATGAACCCAGTGTTGCTTAATTTGTGAAAATTCGGCGATTACCGTTAGCTGTCATATGTTTCGTTTTTCTAAATTTCGGCGCGTGCACTCCGGCGGGCCATGACGTGAGTATAGGAAATTCAGTCTCGAACAGGTTAATTAAGTAGTGTACTATAAAAGCCAAAATAAATTAACAAACCGAAAAAATTTTCATGCATTACGACGTAAACGGTGTACCACTTTTTGATGGAAAGCAAATGAATAGGAATTCCCAGTTTTCTGTCAAAAATCTTTCCACGAGAGAATGGTGTTACCTAAGGAGGGTTGCACCTCTGGAGCCACCCTGTATGATTTTTTTTGAGGTTCCCCTTCCCACTCCCAGCTAAGAGGGTAAAACAACAACAAAGTATTAAAGTATTGTAAAAGTTTCTTTATTAGATTTTTACTGCATGCAGTAAAAATAATGAAAACCCATGCAACTGCCACCCTTGTGAGAATTCTCAACAATTACCACCCGAACCTCGTCCCCAGGGCTTTTCCCTTAAAAAATGGGTGGGGCGGAAAAAGGCCCTGGCACCGGCTGGTCACGTGTACAGCCTAAATATTCCTGAGAAGCTTATTTATATTTGCGCTGACAGAAGTCGAAGGGAGTAACAATGGAAAATACTAACATCGCGAACTATGTCAATATTTCGCGTGTGTGCGATTCAAAAGCTTAAGATCCATTTGATTGCGCATTATTCAAATACTACAAGTTTATGAAAGGGCATACCAGCTCTACGTTGTCACGTACAAAATATGTCAAATGCTTCAGAGTTGCCGGACAAGCTGTTATCGAGTGGTACTTCAGAAATTCATCGTGACTGTGGAATTACTGTGCCGCCCCACCCTACTGTGCGCCCTCGGGACGAGGTTGCAATTAACCCAATCTTACCTCTTGTCTTGAAAAGTCCTTTTTTGCATATAGTATAGGTGAATCAGCCATATTTGCACATTGCTTGCACATAGTAGCGCAGTATATGGGGGAGGGGGAGAGGGGAAGGAGGCAACAAAAAATTAAGATCATAATTTGGTTCCAAAACTTCTCGAGTAAGTGGTCTAAGTGGGAGCAGTGACACGTAACGCAAGCAGTGGTGTGTGTCTAACAGTCACACATGTGATTCTAAGAATTGAACTTTGAGTATTCAATATACAATCGACCATGCGAAAACTTCCCTGAATTAGCGATCGTTTGTCAGTCTTATTATACTCTTTATTATGGGGAATGCGATAAAAATCGAGGGAGTCGAAGGACTTGAGATTAAGGAAAAGCTCGGTGAGGGAAGTTTTGGTGAAGTTTACAAAGCAAAGTGGAATGGGAATCTTGTAGCGGTGAAACTATTGAAAGAGGAAGTTGCTTGGGGCCATCCAAAAGCGTTGGAGCAGTTCAAAAGAGAATGCACATTTCTGAGAGAATTGGACCACCCAAACATCGTGAAACTGCTCGACGCGATTTTCCCGCAAGGTAACTTGCCAGTTCTCATTACAGAGCTTCTGTTTTGCGATCTCTTTACGTACTACAATGACTCCAAAACGACTCCCAAAGTTTCGCTCGATGAAACCATTAAAATCATGCTGGATGTCGGTGAAGGCTTGAAATTTTTGCATGTTCGGGAGGATCCGATCGTTCACCGTGACATAAAATCGCATAACATTTTACTGGACTCAAAACTGAGAGCCAAGATTGCGGACCTTGGTCAAGCCAAAGAATTTCCTGGGTTAGGAGCCGGGCGCTGTGCTGCCGCTACCCCCGTCCCTGGCGGTACAACATACATGGCACCGGAAACTTTTCCCAGCAGTAGTTATCACTCAAATTGTCGTTTGGTTGATTACGGAGCGAAAATGGACATCTTCTCATTTGGTGTTGTCCTACTTGAGGTGACGGTCGGCCACCTACCGTCTCCAAGGCCATTGCTGATTCCATACGACAGAGGTAAGAGCCATGTCACGGGTGAAGACTATAATGGGATTCAGAGGGGAGGGAAAAGTTTTCACCGAGTTACAAAAGGTACGTCTCTGTGCATATGACTCATATGCTGAGAGTCTAGTCGGAATCACTTTAACTGTTTTTTTCAATAAAGGTCAGGGAGAAGTGAAGAAGACCTCGATACGTGCCACTCAACAGGGTGGCAACAACTTTGTGCCTGAGAGAATACAAATCACCTTTTTACTTTTGGAGAGGAGGATATTGATTCCCTGGGGGGGGGGGGGGGGGGGAGCACTACCATATTAGGGCTCTAGATGTAGGGGCCGGTGTGGGGGGTACGTGTTTAAACGCTGTTCTCTTGGGAGAGGAAACGAGACACACGGGGGGGGGGGGGAGGGGGGAGCACTACCATATATGGGCTATATAGGTATGTGCTGCTGTGAAGGGTATGGTTTTCAAGCAGTTTACTCTGGGATAGGATATATAAATCAGAGAGTTTGGGTCTGGAACAGGGTATCATTTTCCAGGAAACTGATCAATAATAACGATCAGTTTCCTGGTTGAAGATTTTAGTTTAGACTAGGGAAACCGTTCCGTGAATTGCCACTCAAAAATTATATGAAAAAATCAAATCGGATTTGTTTTGGCTGGTCTGTGTTTGTGACCTCAGTAGTTTCTGGAAAACAGCTTCTCTGGGATAGGGGGGGGGGGCGATTTTAGGATTTTAGTCTAGTATAGGGTAGCAAAATTCACTTGAACGAGCTCTGGTGTAGCCTAAGAGTTCCAGGGTCCCAGAGGCTCATCGCCACCCAAAAATTCGTAAAGTACCTCCCCCACTAGGTATTGACTCTGGAACAGGATCTATTTTTCTCCACAAGACATGATTATTCTCGATCAAGCTTTGGTGGAAAGTGACTTTGCTCCCCTTGATGTCCAATTGAGTTCTTCTTACTTGAGTCATATTCTGTACATTATTTCTTTTTTCTCATTTCCTGGAGGAACAAATTTGTCTACTTTGAAAAGTGAGATATTATTTTATGAGAAGCAACAAGAAGGGTAGTTTTAACTCACCCCATCCCTTTGGAAGTCCAATTACGGTTCAAACCTTCGTTTACAATTTTGGTCTTTTATGACCTCCTCATCCGTCCAAGAAATTCCAAAAATAATTCTCCATGGGGTGTTCATTTTCTGTTATCATACAGTGCATTTAGGTGCCTCACTAAAAGGCATTGAGAGATAAAGGGAAGGTGCCAAGAGGGTACAGAGAGTTCAGATTGTGAAAGGCTCCCTTGTCTGTTGCATTTTACCAACTTACCTGATACCAAGAGCTACCTTATAAAGAAGACTTGACTTTCTTTCTTGCAGATGGACACTTAGTTCCAGAGCATAGTCGTAGACGGAAGGAGCTTGGAGAGATGGGCACTCTTCACCCCCTCAGAGATATGGTCCTACAATGTCTTGAAAACGACCCCAAAAGAAGGCCTACTATTATTCAAGTGATAAAGGGTCTGCAAAGAAATGACGGAAGCCAGAGAAGAATTGAGTTGAAAATAGCAGTCCTAGGAAGCTCTGGAGTTGGTAAATCCCTCTTGATAAAACGGTACGTGGACTCAGACTTCCCTTTTGAGCTTGTTAGACCTACAATTGGTGTCGATCATCAGTCGGTCCCTTTGGAGATTGGAAATCAACTTGTCATTCTCAGAATTGTTGATCCAGCAGGGCAAGAGAGATTTGATAGCATAGCACCTGCACTGTTCAGGGGTTCCCACGGGGCTTTCCTTGTGTATGACATCTCCGAGCAGCGGAGTTTCGCTGCGCTTCCGAAATACCTGGATTTCATTGCAACGTCTTGTGGTGAAGACGTCAAGGTCATGCTAATAGGAAACAAGGCTGACTTGCCAAGACGGGTCAATTTTGAAAGCGCTCAAAATTACGCAACGTTTTGCAAAATGGAGCATCTTGAAGTTAGCGCCAAGACCTTAGATAATGTGGATGAAATGTTCGAGCGTTTAGCCAGAAAAATTTTAGATTCGTTAGACGAAAGTGATATACATATCCTAGAGAAAACTATATCTCTACAGCAGTCTCGGATTCATCTCACTGATGGCGAGCAGCCAAAATCGGGATGTAACTGTTAGTCGTATGGATACCTGAGAATCGACTTACTTCAGTCAGTAGTTCGATTGCTACTGTGACCCACCCAGTGGCGAATCCAGACCTTTAGATGAGGACGGGGGGGGGGGGGGGGGGGCACCCCACCCCCGGGGAAAGGGGGGGGGGGGGGGGGTTCAAAAAAATTTTGTAAAAAAAAAAGGGGGGCCCCCCCCGGAGCCCCCCCCCGCGGGGCCTTTTAAAAAAACCAACCAACAGGGCCCCCGATTTGGGTGGTTCCATTTTGGGGTTAAACCTGTTAGACCCTGAGATAAGGGGGGAGGGGGGTGGTCTCAAAAAAATTTGATCAAAGACTAAGGGGGTCCTCCCCTGGATCCGCCACTGCCGGGCCGTTATATAACACCAACCAACCAGAGCACCGTATTGGAGTGGTTCAATTTCAGGATTAACCAGTTTATTAAACCCTGTCCTTCCTAGGATAATAGTGAAGAAGGATGAAAAAACACTTGTGTAAGAGCTACTCGTAAGGTCTCTACTTATTGGTTACATAAAACAATGACATGTCATTCTTTCAGTTGTTTCAATATTGTTTCTGGTCAGGGTTAGGCACCAATGGTGACTTCTCTTTCGAGCAGCTGCTACATGACCCTTAATAAAATCCTGGCATGATAATGCGGTTTGAGGCAAAGGGTTATAGATAACTAGTCTAGATGGCACTTATTTCCATTGTCCCTTCGTCATACTGAATTAAGATAAGCTGTTAATATCGCATCGACTGACGGTTTGAACAAGCTGTCTCAGCCCCGTTTAAATGGGGAAAAATTGTCACAGGAAAGAGGGTCACCGGCCGCTCAGCCGAGTCAACTTTAGAGCGTGTAAGGAGTACCTAATGGATCCGCTCCTCAAATTATCCACTTCTCAGGCTAATAATTTGCCGGCTGGTAACTAAATACTGGGTGAGAAACTCTTGCTGGGAACTTTGCCAAAACACTTTTCTTGCATGGTAGCGAGCGTTTATATGAGATTAAAAATTGAGCTATTTGCAATTGCCCCAACCAAGAGCCGGCCGACAACGGCTCTTGGCCAGGCCCCCGGGGGGGGGGGGGTGCTTTAGGAATTTCGGGGTCATCATCATCAATCTTTATTTATACACGAAATCGTATCATTTTACATGGTCTTCCTAGGAATCGTCTTTAAAACTAGACTAAAATACTAAGACTAAAAGACTAAGGAACTATTGACTATAATGTTAAAAATACAAAAACTTACATTATGAATAATAAGAGTTACAATGGGTCATGGTGTATTAGAAAAATCTTTCCTATGAATTGAAGTTTTTAAAAACATTTAAACTAGGCAGTTTTCTAATCTCTAAGGGAATCTTGTTCCACAGAACAGATCCTCTGTAGTGTAGGCTCCTTTTTGCAGACTCAAGGGGTGGGGATGTGCTGCTGGGACCTTGGAACCCTTAACCAATACCAGAGCTAGTTCAGCTGAATTTTGCTACCCTATACCAGAGTAAACTCCTCAAATCCCCCCTATCCTAGAGTAGCTGTTTCCCTAGTCTAGATAAAATCTTCAACCAACCGATCAGTTTCCTGAAAAATGATACCCTATTCTAGACCCAAACGCTCTGATATATATACCCTATCCTAGAGTAAACTGCTCGAAAACCATACGCTTCACAGCGGCACATACCTATATAGCCCATATATGGCAGAAACCCCTGGGGTCAGGCCTTACCATCAAAGAGGGGTAAGGATCCGCCTAGCCGGGTTCCAACTTTTTTATTTTCATGTAAACGGCTCACCACATTTTGTACACCAAAGAAAATTTCTTATGAGAGCCCAACAAAATAAATGTCAAATTTAACAAAATGACATCTTACACATGAAATTTTTAGAATTTTACCTGTTTTTTTTACAATTCTTGTGAAAATTGACATTTATTTTCTCGGGCCCCATTGAAAAATAGTCTTTGCATGGTGTTATTACAGTTGACTAATTATATCTATACATGTAGCCCTTGAAAAATAAAAAAAATATAAAAAAGAATGCAATAATTAATGTTTAAATTACCGTGGTACAAGGTTTTTGTCCACTGAAAACTAAAACTATTCAATTTCCTGATGGATTCCATCTTAAAACCCTCCAGCCCTCTAAGGCTGACCAACATTCAATTTCTTCCTACAGTAATACTAATTAGTCAATCATATAAATAGTGAGAAAAAAGCAAATGATCAACAAGTTAGTGAAAGGGGTCTTCATTATAATTGTTGATTTCCGTTGAAAGGATGGAATCAAAAGAACTTGGTAGTTTTCTCGTGAACGCAGCAGGGTAAAAGACATAGCCACAGGTTCAAAAGGGTGATTTTTGAGGTGCAAATCGCCATTGCTATGAATTGAAAATGTTTTAGCGGAATTTGAAACCTGCAAAAATCACACAACGCTAAGTGAATATGCATTAAGTCTATTAAAAGAGAAAAGAATCTTTGTCGTGCTGTGTTCACATCCTTCATAAGTGGATGTTTGTCATCCTGGCCCCGATTGTTTGAAAGGTGGATAACTTGACTATCCACCCGATAAATCTCTATTCAACGGATGGCACAATTGGTTTTCCTTTATACTTATCCGTTGGATAGTGATCTGTCTGGTGGATAATGCTATCCAACTTTTGAACAGCTGGGGCCTCATCACATCCTTCATTAGCTTCCCATGCAGACGTTTAGCCTGCGAGCAAGCAAAGCGAGTCTCGCGAGAACGCTGCCCCTCGCAGCTTTGCCACTTGCTCATGCATTCTCATGAGACTCGTTTCACTCGCCCACAGAGGAGAGCTTGCTCGCTGGCTAGCAGACATTCTAAGGGTTCGTCACACATTCCTGGCCCCTGAACGTTGAGAGGATTGCATGACAAGCCAATAGAACGTCTGCGTGGGAGGACAATCATCCATAAAAGCCCAAATATTAGGAAATTTCCCACCATCAGATTGTGTAGAGAAGGGCAAAGAATATTAAACAAAAGGAAAATACGGCCATTTACCATACTAGAACAACAAATAACTTGAAAAATGCCTCAAAATTACTCTTAGAAAATATGTAACTGTCGAATTGTACAGAAACAGGGCGGGCATTGGAACAAACTAAAGGATTGTACATGTCTTGATGACAATGCAGCCACCGTCATGTAAAGCTTTCCACTGATTACAAGCCAACTCTGTCTGGTGCTTTATAGTTGGCAATAGTCTCCCATAACATTTCCAGGCTTAATCAAGTGTAAGGGCTGTACTCTTACAAGTCAAAAACAGCATAACTTTCTGTTTCTGCCAGCTGGATTTCTTGTTAACGAATTGTCTACATGACTAGATATCAAGCTGATACTGTCTGGATCATTCTTGATTTTCATTCGCTGGCATGGCTCTTTTGAAGTGAACTTGGCAGGAGGTCCAGGACACCATGAAGAAGAAGATAACTGATGTTCAATGACGACAGAGGCCGAAGCAGCGGAAATCCGCAAGTCTTTCTGCTCCATCAACTGCTCTGTCAGCACAGAAAACATCTCTTCGATATTTTCTCCAGTTTTCGCACTAACCTCGATGTAAAACAAGTTGAACTGCTCCTTTACAGTTTCAGCATCGACCACCCTTTGTTCACAGTCCATTTTGTTTCCTACAAGGATAATAGGAATGTCTCTGTCACACTTCTTATGCACCATAGACACCCACTGAGCAACACTCCTCAAGGAATCCCACGATGCAATATCAAACACAACAGCCGCACCATGGGCACCACGATAGAACTGTGGAAAGGTGCTTGTAACGTTCAATTGCCCCGGTGTGTCCACTATCTGAAGGAAAACTGTCTTGCCTTTAAGTTGAACTCGCTCGTTGAATTCTCCAATATTAAGAGTCACTGGTCTTCTCTCTTGAAAGTCAAGACCAGGTCGGACAAAACTTGTGATGATGCTGGTCTTCCCTACTGCAGCATCTCCCACCACCACAATTTTGAACTCGTAGTCATAGTTCCCACCAGGCATGCGATGAATAATATGTGTGCGATTGATGCTGTCCTGCGATCTTTGAAATTCATTGTTGTTTTTGTGCTCCATCAGTTCCTTCGCCAACTGAGAGGCTGTGGGACGGACCTTAGGGTCATCCTCGAGACACTGCCATACGAGCAACCGCAAAGGGTGCGTAATGTCTATTTCATGTAGGTCCTCGCTCCGCCGCATGTACTCAGGGACTATTTTCCCGTCTAAAGGCAACAAAACAAAACAAAGAAAAAAATTATTTACTTTTAACCGCCATGAACATATAAGCCCAACTATTAGAAAAATCACTCCTGTGGAAAAAGGCCTTCGATCCACGGCTGACTTCGCTTGCAGTTTTATATATTATACTTTTTCAAAATAAAGATGGCCGACAAGTTATATGACCGACAAGGTAAAGAGCTCTTAAAAAGTCTTATCCCTTACTCTACTTTATTTTTCTCAGGGATAAGGCCCCCCCATTTAGGGACCAGTCATTATTTATCGCCTAAGGGGGGGGGGGACGGACGATTTGGGGCTAAACAAGGTGAAATTTAGCCAATTGCTTCCTTGGATGTTACTTCACTGAAGTGATACCCCCTAATACAACATTTGAAACTTTCCCCCAATCCCCGCGATGTCTTCATTTTCCAAGCACATTTGAGTGGTTTCCCCCCCCGACCCCTCCCCACCACTTCAACACACACCCCCGCTCACACCAACCCTTTCATTACTCAGCCACCATTCACTCTCTCCTTCTCTCACACATACCATCCAATACACCGCAACCCCCACCACATTCGCTCGCCACCATCCCCCTGCGTGTTCTCTTTTCCACACCCACTTTTTGTGTTCCCCCCCTGTTACTCTCCCAAATTTTCAGCAATCCCCCCCTTTTGTTTCCACGTGGTTTTTACTCGCCCCCCTTTTGTTACCCCAAAAAACACGGGTTCCCCCCCCAAATCCCCCCCCCCCCCCCCCCCCCCGGCGATAAATAATGACCGGTTCCTTATAGGACCCTCTTCCTTTACACAAAAAGTACATCCAATTCTAAGCCCCTGGACATAAGCCCCACCTCTTGCTTGTTTAAATGAATTCAATTTATCATGACGTTTTGAAGCTTAAACTTAAAACCAGCAGTAAACGCAAAACGCATTTCGCCAATCAGCACTGCTATAGCTTGTTTCAAAGCACTTTTTCCATTCTGGTTATTATCTTCCACTGATATAAGCCCCCTCGGATAAAAGCCAGGTTTTAACAACCCTTAGGTAGATGTATAAGGGCTAGTCTTATAAGTAGTAGTTTACGGTGATCGAGCGGGCAAATAATAATGGAGAAGGGAAATGGGGAAAGGAAAACGCAAAACAGGAAATAGAAAAATAAAAGCAAAGTAGAGAGAGGGGTTATGAAGTTCCTGATACTAGGCCTTTGCTTTGTTCCCACTTCTCATTTTCCCTTACTCCGTGCTCGTTCTGCGTTCCCCATTTTAGTAATATCCGGTTCTACTGCACACATAGAATTGCCTAGAAGTTGACTTTTTTGACCGACAGAGCCCCGCGAATGAGCGAGAGTCTACTGCACCAAAATGGCTCTTGACGGTTGATTGCACGTAAACAATACTGATTTCTTGTCAGAACACACAATTGCGTGACGAGCCTTCGAACGATCCAAAAATGGGCGTCGATAAAACCCGGAACATGGAACATCCCGGAACATTCCGGAACATCCCGGAACATGAAAAAATTAAAATATTTTTTTTCTGAAAAAATAATTAATTAATTAATTAATAATAATAACAATAATAATAATAATAATAATAAAAAGAACAATAGATAGAAAACAATTTTTGCAAAAATTTATAATAACCAAATTAATTACATAACATAACATAAAAACGAAAAACAAACAAACAAACAAAGAAAGAAAGAAAAAGAAACTGGTATCATCTCCAAGTATGAAAAAACAATATTTTGTCGCAATGAATTTTTTGGGCGAGTGAGGGTCCATTCAAATGACAGAAATGAGTGAAGGCTTGCTTCTAAATTCAGAATATATTAAAATGGGTCGTGGGGAGGGGGTTTTCAAGCTTTCCTCACACAGCCACCTCTTGTAAATGTTTGCCACGCGGTTTAACGGTTATCCATTTACAGCTTTGCGACCGTAAGAAGAGCTTAGGGGCTCGTCCCTTTGGACTTGGATAATTAAATTAAAGATTCACGTTGGAGTGGCAGTGGTAGCGCAGCGGGTAGTTTCTAACAGTTAGCCTGAATTTTAGCCGTCTCCCGGCAAACTCCTCCTGCGACTTGCGGAGATGTCTGAAATATCATGCTGACTGTAAACAGTATAGAAACTACTACGAATGTGAGTGTTGTCCACTAAAATCCAAAGACAGGAACCCCTATACTCTTCTTAAGTTCACAGAGCCGCCTAGTCTGTAAGTAATTCATGTCAACCTCAAGTGAAGCAAAGCACCCCAAGTAAGCAAATGTTAGTCAATATATATAAGGAGACTATATGTCGGCTTGAAATGAGCTACTTACCGACTTGGATCGACATGAAATACTGCACCGACATTTCATACCATTGCAGAACCGTAAATGGTTAACTGCCAAATGATTAACTTATGGCAAACAACTACACGAGGTGGCTGTGTGAGGAAAGCTTGAAAACCCCCCTCCTCGCGACCCATTTTAATAAATTTTGAATTTAGAAGCAAGCCTTCACTCATTACTGTCATTTGCATGAACTCTCACTCGCCCAACAAATTTTAATTTGTTGCGACAAAATATTGTTTTCTCATACTCAGAGAGGATACCAGTTTCTTTTTCTTGATTATTTCATTATTTTTCGTGTTTTTTTTTGTTATTTTACGATATTATTAATTTTTACAAAAATTATTTTATTATTATTATTTTTTTGTTGTTTTTTTTTCATAAAAATTATTTTTATTTTTTCATGTTCCGGGATGTTCCGGAATGTTCCGGCATGTTCCGGAATGTTGCGGAATGTTCCGTGTTCCGGGTTTTATCGACGGTCTCCAAAAATCGCGAAGATTGACTCAATCCAGTATGGTTAGAGGAGGCTGTGTGTTGCATCAAACATCATTTGAGGTTTTTCGTGAAATCAAAATAAACAACAATGAAAACTGAATTGTAGTTTGTGTCAATACAATTAATTCAGTGACAACAAAGTCTTTTACCTTCGGTGCGTAGTTCCGCTATTCTTGTTGAAGGATGCCCAACTATAACTTCCAACATCACCACACCAAAAGAAAATATGTCTGCTTTAGTTCCATAATTAATCGGCCTCCTGCTGAAGAAAAACCTTCCAAACGTCTCTGGAGCACGAGTCGCTAGCGTCCCAGGATTAGCGGTGGCAGCCGTGTGCCCGTCCGGAAAATATTTGGCGAATCCAAANATTTTGAATTTAGAAGCAAGCCTTCACTCATTACTGTCATTTGCATGAACTCTCACTCGCCCAACAAATTTTAATTTGTTGCGACAAAATATTGTTTTCTCATACTCAGAGAGGATACCAGTTTCTTTTTCTTGATTATTTCATTATTTTTCGTGTTTTTTTTTGTTATTTTACGATATTATTAATTTTTACAAAAATTATTTTATTATTATTATTTTTTTGTTGTTTTTTTTTCATAAAAATTATTTTTATTTTTTCATGTTCCGGGATGTTCCGGAATGTTCCGGCATGTTCCGGAATGTTGCGGAATGTTCCGTGTTCCGGGTTTTATCGACGGTCTCCAAAAATCGCGAAGATTGACTCAATCCAGTATGGTTAGAGGAGGCTGTGTGTTGCATCAAACATCATTTGAGGTTTTTCGTGAAATCAAAATAAACAACAATGAAAACTGAATTGTAGTTTGTGTCAATACAATTAATTCAGTGACAACAAAGTCTTTTACCTTCGGTGCGTAGTTCCGCTATTCTTGTTGAAGGATGCCCAACTATAACTTCCAACATCACCACACCAAAAGAAAATATGTCTGCTTTAGTTCCATAATTAATCGGCCTCCTGCTGAAGAAAAACCTTCCAAACGTCTCTGGAGCACGAGTCGCTAGCGTCCCAGGATTAGCGGTGGCAGCCGTGTGCCCGTCCGGAAAATATTTGGCGAATCCAAAATCAGCAATCTTTGCCTGCTTCGTTGAAGTTAATAGAATGTTTTTGCAGGCGAGATCGCGGTGTACAATTGACCTTTCGTGAAGATAGTTCAGTCCTTCGGCAACATCAAGCATGATGCTGACGGTATCGCGGAAGGAAACCTTAGGTTTTCCGGGTTTTGCATTGGAATTCTCGATGAATGTTCGTAAATCTTGATGCAGTAGCTCTGTGATGATAATTATGGACTCATCTCGCGATTTCGGCCACTTCTCAGGTAAAACAACAGCTAAATATTTCACAATATTTGGGTGATCTAGTTCTCTTAGTATTCTCCATTCTTCGGTGTATTTCTTTGCTTCGGGCTTGTTCAAAATGTACGAGTGAAATTTCTTGGCGGCCACCCCTCTATTTCTCCAGACTGCCCGGTAGACATTAGCATACGTTCCTCTACCAATTTCGTTGCCGAGATTCAATTCGTCTTTAGATGAAGTATTTCCCATTTACTCTGCGACTTTTGATTTGTCAAGGTGTTTTACTTGTCGGCTGCCCTGCTTCCCTCAGAATCGTACGTCAGATGTCAGATGCTGATGCAAGAATTTACTCACTGGACCGCGCGAGAGAGATGGTGTCAACAACTAGCTGGGGAAGGGTTGGGGGGGCATGCTTTCCCGGAAAACGTAGAAATGTGGGTGTCCTGAATTGTCTCTTGCCAGAAAAGCATGTTATAAACTATCATGCTTTAATAGTAGTAATGCCAGGAGCCCATAACCCTGGTAATGCACCAAATTTTTAATGAATATATTGAAGAAATTTTAGCTTTATACGATTTCGACATGACAACATCGAAACTAGCTGCGTGGGCAGTCTCTCATTTTTCTTTGCAAAGTTACTGCACGCGAAACCTAAGCACGCGAGCGGCAAAGCCGCAAGCCGAGCCGCAAGAAACGAGGGCGTCTCAATCCCTTATTGTAATAATTACGTCGTGGTTTGCAATCGCGCTGGATGAGATAAAAACTAGACGGATTTTAAGAGAAAAGGTGGACTGAAGGCAGTCTACATCGAAACGATAAAGAGGGTACCCTGAATTTCATCCGATTGCTTCGAGTCGTTTTCTCCTCTCAGCTACTGAGGAAGTAATAACGACTCGAGGTAATCTGATAAAATTCAGGCTAAAAAGAGGGAAAACTGTTCGAGTCTCAAAAATATTTATCATAAAAAACTATATACATAGTGGTAAAATAGCTTCCAATTTTATCGACGAGTTGTGCCTCGTTCGACCGTCTCGGCTCGACCGCCTGATAGTTTGAATTTATCAAAAGTGAGAAGTTTAAAGGTCATTCATTCTGTCTCTTTTTATCCTTGCCAAAGTCCGTCATCAACTTCCTTATTTATGTTTCCGTTCTTTGGTCTTTGAACTGACTGTGCTTAACCGTTTCAAATACCATAAACTTCCGCTTGTAAGCCCCCCCCCCCCCCCCCCCCAACACACACACCCCCCCCCCCTTATCAACTTCCCCAGTTTTAGGTCTTTCCTTTTAAACCCCCCGGATGGGGGGGGGGGGGGGGAGGGGGCCTCCGGAAAAACAAAAAAAAAAACCCGGGTATAAGCCCCCCGAAATAAACCCCCCCATTCAACCCC